GATTGAAAAAAAACCACAAATTTTATTATGAAACATTTCAAACATTTGCAAAGCTAAAGATAATAGTATAATGAACCCCATGCAATCATTACTTAGCTTCAACAATTAATCAACTCATAGCCCATCTGGCTTCATCTGTTCCCACCTCCCTGAATCACTTTGATATAAATCCCAGACACATCATTTCATTCATAAATATTTCAATATGTGTTTCTACAAGATAAGGACTCTTAAAAATACTGCCATAATCCATTATCAAACCTAAAATCTAATAATAATGCCTCAACAACATAACTTTTCCAATTGTCTCATTTTAAAAACAGCTTGATCAGTTGAGAAATCTGCAGTTAATGTAGGGAAAAAAATAAAATAAAAATAAAAACAGCTTGAATAAGAATCCAAAAGATTACAATTGGTTCTAAATTTTCTTTTAATCTATCGGTTCCCCTCTCTTCTCTTTTTCATCTTGCAATTTATTCGTTGAAGAAACTAGGCTGTTTATCCTATATAGTTGCTCACATTTTGGATTTTGCCAATTGCACCATGATGATGTCACTTAGCAATTTCTTGCCCATCTGTCCTGTAAACTGATAATTATATGAGCTTGATCTGATTCAGGTTCAATTTTTTGGTAAGAAAATGTCATATGTGGAGGTGTGTAATATGTATACAGTCTGGCTGTCTTTCTTTTTGAGAGACATTGATGAGCATTGCTTACATCCATTATTTCACTGGGGACTACAAATGGTGGTATTCAATTAATATAATTCTTTATTAATACTGGCATGCAATCATTTCTTTATTAACTGGACTATTACTATAAGGAAAAACAAAGAGGTCGGGCGCAGTAGCTCATGCCTGTAATGCTAGCACTGGGAGGCCGAGGTGGCCAGATTGCTCGAGGTCAGGAGTTCGAAACCAGCCTGAGTAAGAGCGAGACCACGTCTCTACTATAAATAGAAAGAAATTAATTGGCCAACTAATATATATATAGAAAAAACTAGGCATGGTGGCGCATGCCTGTAGTCCCAGCTACTCGGGAGGCTGAGGCAGTAGGATCACTTGAGCCCAGGAGTTTGAGGTTGCTGTGAGCTAGGCTGACGCCACGGCACTTACTCTAGCCTGGGCAACAAAGCGAGACTCTATCTCAAAAAAACCCAAAAAACAAAGAGCTTTAAATTAAGCAGGAACATGTTACTATCTCTCTATTATAAATATAAGTTATATATAAAATATATATATTTTAAAATATTAAATTATTCATCCTGCCCTACCTGTTTTCTGTATCTACGTCCCCATTTCTCCTTCCTTTTACAAGCAGAGTGACATCATCTGATTTATCCTTTTTTTTTAAGTATTATGATGGCTTCTGGGGAGAGAACAAACTACAGGCAGGCAAGAGTGGAAACTGGGAGTCAGATCAAGTGGCTATTGCAAAATCCAGATAAGAGATGATGGTGGCTTTGGCCAGGGTGATAGCAGTGGAAGAGATGGGAAGTAATTGGATTTGGGATATACTTTGAAGGTAGAGTTGACAAGATTTGCAGAGGAATTGAATGTAGGTATGTGCAAGAAACAGAGGACCCAAGGATGAATCTGGATTTGGGGCCTAAGCATCTGGAAGGAGTAGTTGTAGTTGACTGACATGAGGAAGATATGATTGGAACAGGTTCATAGGGGAGGACTGGGAGCTTAGAGGAGATAAAGAATGAACAGCCCAGTGGGTTCATAGCTAATTGAATGACAATGTCCATGCTACTGAATGGATTGATGTCAGCAGGAGGGAGATCTGGAGAGTGTTTTGAAGGGCTTTGTGCATTGACCTGTCTTTTTATTAGTAACTGGGGTCATTTTGCCATTGACACAATGTTAGGTAAGCTGCTATGTTGGGTGACAGAACAGAGTCAAAGGATGATCTTGACAATTCTAGGATAGATTGAATCAAGCAAAATGAAGTTAACCTAAATAAAGTCTTGCAAATTTGAGCTGTTCAGGCAATATCTATTTGAGGAATAACATTGTTATTAAAGACAGTGTTTGTGCAAACATATCTGGCTCAAAATCCCAACCTGCCTTTTCTTAAGATTAAGTCTAATAACTTTCCTTATTTGTAAAATGGTACAGTAATGCTTTGCAAACAACAAAAAGTTGTTGTGACAAATGAAATAATTAAACACTTAACACCCTCTCTGAAAGATCTTTCCTTTTAGTCTTTTTTTTTTTTTTTCAAATTAGGTATTAGCAAATATTGGCATTTGGGATGGGCTTTTAAGAGCCTCTTGAAATAATATTATAACTAGAGATTTTCTGGGATCTGAAACTTTACTTCCTCAGAACAAGTTTTCTTGTCAGTTCCTCTAACTCCACCTGAAAATGTCAGCCCCATCTCTTTATTTCCCCCATCTCTGCTTTCACCTCTCTCTACCTTAAGATTAATAACCAATTTTATGTTTTCTATCATATTTTAAGTCAGTCTCTAATAATATTTGTTTACAACCCTTTCTCTCTTTATCTGATAGCTTGGAACACTTTCTAGGGCTTTTCATTTTTTAATATTTTATTGATACATAATTTATATACAATAAAATTGACCAATTTATACAATCAGATCAGTCTTAACCAATGTATACAGCATCAACAATCATAGAACATTTGGGTCTACACTTTTAAAGTCTTCTAGTTGGAAATAAATTTTTGAACATGCTTACAAACATGACAAATTTGCAAGTTACAAAATACAGTTTTATTCAGTATAAAATGAGAAATGAAGAATACATTTAAGAATAATTATTAAGAAAAGCAAAAGAATTCTAAAAAAATCTATGTAATCATTTACTTGCCTTCTTTTATCCTCTAAATAAAATGACATGCCTGCAGAAAATGAAAAACTTGCTAAGAATAAATTTTATTTCAGGATACTTAGGGCTCTACCTGTAACTGCAGATGAGAATCAGGGTATTTGAATCAGTTTTTTAGTCTTGGTCTCCTGGTTTGTTTCCTTTTCATGCAAATATGTTTAGAATCAGGGTGCAGTTGAAGAATGGGAAGTTGAAAAGAGAAGAGAGTGGAGAGGAGGTGGTAAAACCAGTTGGCACAAGCAACACTTAAACCTCCGAGATTCTCCTCCTTAAATAGCATAATTACATGGAAATGGTGCCCGGTAATGTAGAGCAAATTAATTGTTTGAAGTACAAAATGAAATTGTAACCATTAGAAAATCATTAGAAAAAGCTGTAATATTCCATAGGCATTATGTTTTGTGGATAGACACATGCTAATGCTTTTGAATGCTTTCTTAACGTAAAATGAGGATTTCTAGATATGGGGGTGAGATAAAGTTAGACAAGAGCCAGTCCCTGCCTTCCCCAAATCCTCTTCCTTTGGTCCTCCTGTCTTGCTCCATGGTTCCTTCATTCTTATCTCACTTTCCTATCTCTCTGCTTTTGATAGCTCTTCCTTATTCTCTTTGCCTCTTATTTTGAGGCATTTCCCAAAGTTTTTTCTCTATCCTCTCCTTTTTTTCTTTTTACCTATTTTCTTCTTTGGAGATCACATTTATTTCTATGTCTAAGGGAACATCACCTCACTTATGTAAATAAAAATCCAAGAATCACCAGGCTGTTAGCACTGTAAGTGTTAGTGTTTCTACGTAGAGAAAGATGGCTGACAAAGTGGTCCGATGAGTCCCTGTGATTGTCCTCACTGTTCCTCACATCCCCTCACTTTAATTTCCACTCTTCCTCCCACTAGATCCCAGGGTGTACTGCTCCAACATTAAAGTTCTGGCCCAACTGTGGATCAAAATCCCCTCCCTTTGTTTCTATGCAGAGGTTATAATTTTTTTTAAAAAGGACTAAAACCAGCAGATAAAAGTTACATAAAAAGAACACAAAAACCTATGAGAGAGACAGAAAGCCTTAATTTAGCCTCTTCTTCTTTGAGTTCTGATATTCCCATAGCCATTTTACAGGCTAAACAGAGGTTGTTCAACCTCCAATGCTAAAGGTAGATGGACAGTAGAGAATACCTTGCTCAGTCCGCACGGAGAGGACTCCCTCCCTTGACTGAGGTTTCCCTGTTGAGAGACACACTTCTTGTCTAGGAGACTGACAACTAGAATGGCCGCATTCTTCAAGGGAGGCCACTGCTCACTAGATCAGAGATACCCATTGTCTAATGGCCACTAATAATATCAAAGTACTGGCCTAATAACAACTGTAATATCCATTCAACAAAATGTAGTAGTATTTTGGTTTTTATTTAATATCAAATACTCAGCTCAGCATTGTGAAGAGCTTTAGTTAGCACATCTCTACATAGGTAACTTCCAAATCTATATTTCTAGCTGAAGCTTATTTGTTCATTCTTCCTCTTGTTTATCCATTCAGTCAATATTTCTTCAGCACCTCCATGTGTTAGGCTTTGTGCTAGGTTGTAAACAAGATACACATGGCACCTGCCTTCATGGAACTTGCATAAAGAGAGGTAGACAGGCATGAAAAAAGTACCAGTTGGTAAGTGTTATAAAGGAAGACTGCAGAGTATTATGGAGTCTGTAAGAAAATGTGACTTAATCGAGCCCAGACTGAATCAAACTCCTGGGCTCAAGCCATCCTCTCACCTTGGCCTCCTAAAGTGCTGGGATTATAGGCGTGAGCCTATATTAAAGTATAATATACATGCAGAAAGATACACATAAGTGCTCAGCTTACTGAACTTTCATAAACTAAACAATCCTGTATAACCAGCATGTAAATTACAAAATAGAAACTAGCTCCACAAAAGCTAGTGGTGCCCCCTTCTGCTCACTACCCCTCTCTAAAGGGTAACCAATATCCCGATTTCTTATTAGTTTTATTAATAGCAATTTTTAAAAATTTGATATTACAACAATCAATTAAGAGATTTATTGTAGTAGCATTTTGGTTTTTACTTAATATCAAGACTTAAACCTATCTGCTGATCATTCTTTTAATGTACAGTTATATTTTGTTTTCTAGGTTGAAAAAGCTCCTTGAACAAGAAAAGGCGTACCAAGCCCGTAAAGAAAAAGAAAATGCTAAACGGCTCAATAAACTAAGAGATGAGCTTGTCAAACTCAAGTCCTTTGCACTCATGCTGGTGGATGAAAGACAAATGCATATTGAGCAACTTGGCTTGCAAAGCCAGAAAGTACAGGATCTTACTCAGAAACTAAGGGAAGAAGAAGAAAAGCTCAGAGCCATTACTTCCAAATCCAAAGAAGACCGACAGAAATTGCTCAAGTTAGAAGTGGACTTTGAGCACAAAGCTTCAAGATTTTCTCAAGAGCATGAAGAGATGAATGCTAAATTAGCTAATCAGGAGTCTCACAACAGGCAACTTAGACTCAAGCTGGTTGGCTTAACTCAAAGAATCGAGGAGCTAGAAGAGACCAATAAAAATCTTCAGAAGGCAGAGGAAGAACTTCAAGAATTAAGAGATAAAATTGCCAAAGGGGAATGTGGAAACTCCAGCCTCATGGCAGAAGTGGAAAATCTCCGAAAGCGCGTGCTTGAAATGGAGGGAAAAGATGAGGAGATCACGAAAACGGAATCCCAGTGCAGGGAATTGCGGAAGAAGCTGCAAGAGGAAGAACACCATAGTAAGGAGCTCAAAATTGAAGTTGAGAAGCTACAGAAGAGAATGTCTGAACTGGAGAAATTGGAAGAAGCGTTTAGCAAGAGTAAATCTGAATGCACCCAGCTACATTTAAATCTGGAGAAAGAAAAGAACTTAACCAAAGACCTGCTAAATGAATTGGAAGTGGTCAAGAGTCGAGTTAGAGAACTTGAATGTTCTGAAAGTAGATTGGAAAAGGCTGAATTAAGCCTAAAAGATGATCTTACAAAACTGAAGTCATTTACTGTGATGCTGGTTGATGAAAGGAAAAATATGATGGAAAAAATAAAGCAAGAAGAAAGAAAAGTGGATGGACTCAATAAAAATTTTAAGGTGGAACAAGGAAAGGTTATGGATGTAACTGAAAAACTAATTGAAGAAAGTAAGAAGCTTTTAAAACTGAAATCTGAAATGGAGGAAAAGGTATACAATTTGACAAAAGAGAGAGATGAGTTGATAGGCAAACTGAAAAGTGAAGAAGAAAGATCCTCTGAATTAAGCTGCAGTGTTGACTTATTAAAGAAGAGACTTGATGGTATAGAGGAAGTGGAAAGAGAAATAACAAGAGGAAGATCTCGGAAAGGACCTGAGCTCACCTGCCCAGAAGATAATAAAATTAAGGAACTAACACTTGAAATTGAAAGACTGAAGAAACGTCTCCAACAATTGGAGGTGGTTGAAGGCGATTTGATGAAGACAGAGGATGAGTATGATCAGCTGGAGCAGAAATTTAGAACTGAGCAAGATAAGGCTAACTTCCTCTCTCAACAACTAGAAGAGATCAAGCACCAGATTGCCAAGAATAAAGCAATAGAGAAAGGAGAGGCTGTGAGCCAGGAAGCTGAGCTGAGACACAGATTTCGGTTGGAAGAAGCTAAAAGTCGAGACTTAAAAGCCGAAGTACAAGCTCTCAAAGAGAAAATTCATGAATTAATGAACAAAGAAGACCAGCTTTCTCAGCTCCAAGTAGATTATTCTGTCCTTCAACAAAGATTTATGGAAGAAGAAAATAAGAACAAAAACATGGGGCAGGAGGTCCTCAATCTGACCAAAGAGTTGGAGCTTTCCAAGCGTTATAGCCGAGCTCTCAGACCTAGTGTGAACGGAAGAAGAATGGTGGATGTTCCTGTGACGTCGACCGGAATACAAACTGACGTAGTCAGCAGTGATGCAGCAGAGGAGGAAACACCAGCTGTTTTCATACGGAAATCCTTTCAGGAAGAAAATCATATCATGAGTAATCTTCGACAGGTGGGACTGAAGAAACCTATGGAACGATCCTCTGTTCTCGACAGGTATCCTCCAGCAGCAAACGAGCTCACTATGAGAAAGTCTTGGAATCCATGGACGAGAAAAAGGGAAAACGGCCCCTCGATCACTCAGGAGAAAGGGCCTCGAACAAATTCCACCCCAGGGCACCCAGGAGAGCTAGTCCTTTCTCCAAAGCAGGGCCAGCCCCTGCATATCCGAGTGACACCAGATCATGAGAACAGTACTGCAACTTTGGAGATAACAAGCCCAACATCTGAAGAATTTTTTTCTAGTACCACCGTCATTCCTACCTTAGGGAATCAGAAACCAAGGATAACCATTATTCCATCACCAAATGTTATGTCTCAAAAACAAAAAAGTGGGGATACTACTCTTGGCCCAGAGCGAGCCATGTCCCCCGTCACGATTACTACGTTTTCCAGAGAGAAGACCCCAGAAAGCGGAAGAGGCACATTTGTGGACAGGCCCACATCCCCCATCCAGATCATGACAGTGTCTACATCAGCAGCACCAGCTGAGATTGCGGTTTCACCCGAATCCCAGGAAATGCCCATGGGAAGGACTATCCTCAAAGTCACCCCAGAAAAACAGACTGTTCCAACTCCAGTACGGAAATACAACTCCAATGCCAATATTATAACTACAGAAGACAATAAAATTCACATTCACTTAGGTTCTCAGTACAAACGATCCCCTGGGACTTCAGCTGAAGGCGTAAGTCCAGTTATTACGGTCCGACCAGTCAATGTGACAGCTGAAAAGGAAGTTTCCACTGGCACTGTCCTTCGTTCTCCCAGGAACCATCTCTCTTCACGACCCGGTGCAAGCAAAGTGACAAGCACTATCACCATAACACCAGTCACAACCTCATCTGCTCGAGGAACCCAGTCAGTGGTGAGTGGAAGAGGCTCCAAAGTGCAGGCCAGTGGAGGGAGGGAGAACGGAGGAGTGAGACTAACACAGCCCTGACAATAAAACATAGCATATGGCTCTCACTCTACCTGGACCAACCAACACATGTTTCCTAAAGGACAAGCTACACTGAGAAATGAACTTTGAAAGTGACTGACCTAATATTTTGACACATTGGGCCAACTTTGAGGGAAAATTTCACTTATTCATGGAAATTATGCAGACCTCAAAGTACTTGCAAAGATGGCCTTTTTGAAATGGTAGCATACAGTAATCATAATTTTTGAAATTTGGTTTTATGTTTAAAATACTTTAAAAAAAATTTTATTTTATTACTTATTTACTTCTTTATTTTTGTAGAGATAAGATTTGGAGTGCAGTGGTGCAATCATATAGCTCACTGTGACCTTGAAGTCCTAGGCTCAAGTGGTCCTCCTGCCTCAGCTTCCCAAGTAGCTGGGCCTACAGGTGTGCACTACCATGCCTGGCTAATTTTTTATTTTTTTATTTTTTTTACTTTTTGTAGAAATGGGGTTTTGCTCTGTTGCCCAGACTAGTCTCAAACTCCTGGTCTCAAGTGATTGTCCCACCTAGGCCTCCCAAACTGCTGGGATTATTGGTGTGAGCCACCATGCCCAGTGCAAAGTACTTTTTTAAATGGAGATTAGGGGAAACAGTTAATGTGCAGGAAGAATTAAAATTATTCCTAGGTTATATTTTTTTTTTTTTTTTGAGACAGAGTCTCACTTTTGTTGCCCAGGCTAGAGTGAGTGCCGTGGCGTCAGCCTAGCTTACAGCAACCTCACACTCCTGGGCTCAAGCGATCCTCCTGCCTCAGCCTCCCAAGTAGCTGGGACTACAGGCATGCACCACCATGCCCGGCTAATTTTTTGTATATATATTTTTAGTTGGTCCATTAATTTCTTTCTATTTTTAGTAGAGACGGGGTCTCGCTCAGGATGGTTTCGAACTCCCAACCTCGAGCAATCCACCCGCCTCGGCCTCCCAGAGTGCTAGGATTACAGGCGTGAGCCACCGCGCCCGGCCAAGACCCTAGGTTATATTTTTATAATCTAAAATATTCAATATGTGGTTATGTATGGCAATAGTCATACTTTATTCCAAAAATAAGATTACAATATTTTAATATCAAAAATTTGTTAAAAGTATAGAAGAAGTGATTTTTATATGCCTAAAAACTATTTTATTTAATATCTTATAAAAGCAGTTGCTTCATAAATATTTATTTAATAACTAGCTGGAAGGCTAAATGAATGATTATAAAAAAGCGTGTCCAAAGCACAAAAACCAGAGCTTAAAAGTAAATTCTGTTTTTCAAAATACTTCCAGTAATGGTCTCCATGTATTAGAGGCAAATTGGTAAATGTAATTATAGAAGAGCATGTACTATTTAGATGTTAATTTAAGCTAATAGACTAGAAATTATGATTCCTAGTCTCTGAACAAATCCTACAACATATATTGAAATCTTTTAAGAAAGACAGGAGGCTCATAATTTAAATAGAAACTGTGGCTTATTTTCCCATATCCTTTATATAATTTACTTTAATTCTCTATGCACAAACATATACACAAGACAGACTTCAAACTATGACTTACTAATTGATTTGCCACTAAAGCTTTTAGTTATTGGCTCTACAGGATCCAAATAGCACTTGGAATTGTTTAGCCTTCTCAAATGGTTCAATACTGCTTTTTAGTCAATGCATAGCATAGTTTGGTTGTATAGAATCTTGCTTCTTTCTGCTGCATTTTATCAAATGATAGTGGAGGTGTAAATCACTGTAACTTAGAGTAGATTTTCTGCTGCGACATTTTATTCCCATTTTAAGGTTCAGATTACCCTCTGTAGCAACATCTTTGACTACTGATTAAACCCAATACACAAATAGGATTTCAAAACAAGTGTCTAAGATTTCTAAGGCCTGAATGATGGCCCACTTAATTCAGGCTTATTAGATCCTACAAAACCAAGCACAACAAAAGGTTTGGCACATCCCTCTTAGAATTTAAACAGTAAGGCTAGTTCATTAGTGCATTTATTCATTCAATAGTTGTTGAGTGTCAGCTATACTTTAGGCATGGGGTTAGGTGCTGGCATGCAAAGAGGACTTTAGAAATTCTTGACGTAGTGGGAGAGGCAGGATTGGAACCTACTTAGTGGTTCCAGATGGAGGTGTGTACAAAGGAACCAACAGAGAAGGCTTCACAGGGGAGGAAGTATTCATAGATAAGGGGAGATTTTTCAAAAAGGAAAAGGGAAGGAGTATGTAGACAGAACAGCATGTGCAAAGGCATGACAATGTGAAGGAGCTTGGAGTGTTTAGGGAATGGTGAGCAATCCCACTGTGCTGCTGTAGTTGGGCATGGGAAAAAAATGCCAGAGCAGAAAATGGAAAAGCAAACTGGAGTCAGGTATGGAAGGGAGGCACAAGTCTTATTATGGAATTGATATTTAATCTCATAAATAAAGGGAGCTATTGAAAGGGTAATGATCATGAGAAAAACATGACATTACTTATGTCTTAGAAAGATATGCCTAGAAAATAATTTAAAAGATAAATGAGAGGGCACAGAGGCTAAGGACAGGAATTGCTGTTGCAATTTTCCAGGCTAAAGATGGTGTAGGCTTGAACTATGGTAGTGAAAATGAGGACAGAAATCTATTGAAGATAGAATCAAAAAGATTTTATGACAAATTGAGTATAGAAGGTGGCTCTGGGGTTTCTGGTTTGGGTGTCTGGGTGGATAGGATGAGAAACTTAGGGGCATTAACTGTTGGGGAAAGCATAAGTAATGTTTGGACCATGTTATATTTAAGATATCTGGGGGACACTGGAAATGGCCAGCGAGTAGTTGGGAATATGATCTGCATTTCAGGACAGCATTGAAGCCTAGAGGTTCCACGGCTTGGACACATGGGGTAATAACTAAGGTGATTCTTAGGGTGAATGTGAACAATTAAAAGGGGTCCAAGAATGGAACATAGTGACCCTCACATTTAGAAGGCAGCAAGGAGTCAGTAAGTGATTGAAAAGGAGTTGTCAAAGACAGGAGGTGAATTGAGGAGACTCATGTAAGAAATCACAGCGAGAGAGTGATTGCAGCCTTTCAGAAAGATGGTGTGGTCAGCAATGACAACAAAAAACGAGAAGAGTCAGGTCATTCGCAGGTGAAAAGATTGCCCCTTCATCTGAAATGGAAGAAAGGGGGAAGAGTAGAGGTAACTAAGGGACAGTAGGAGTAACATGGCCTGAGTTTTTGCCTGGTGGCCTATATTTTTCTATGTGAACCAAGAGTCAGGGCCATCTTCAGTGAGAGTAAAAGAGGGAGGTGAGTGCTTGAGAAGAGAAAGAAGTTTCAAGCAAAGATGTTTCAAAAGAAGGGAAAGGGAGGCAATCTGAGTGGGCTAGATACCAATTCCAAATTTCTTACAATTCTTTTATTTGGAGAAGGGTTGACTGTTGGTCTTTGGGTGGCAAGAGTCCTACTGATGTTCAGACTGATGGCATATCCGGGGGAAACTCACCTACATCTCCCTTGTTGTCTCTGTGTTTTCTCTCTTACAGTCAGGACAAGATGGGTCATCCCAGCGGCCTACACCCACCCGCATTCCTATGTCAAAAGGTATGAAAGCAGGAAAGCCAGTAGTGGCAGCCCCAGGAGCAGGAAATCTGACCAAATTCGAGCCTCGAGCTGAGACTCAGTCTATGAAAATAGAGCTGAAGAAATCTGCAGCCAGCAGCGCTACCTCTCTTGGAGGGGGGAAGGGCTGAGGGCAGTGGCTGAGGGGGTATGTTGTGCAGACGCTACTGCTGCTGTGAAAACGAACCTTCGTCTGCTTGTGCCAACTCTTTACATGTACTAATTTAAGTTTTAAACATCATGTTTATAAAATAACCAACTAATAGCCATGTGTCTTTCCTATTTTGTGCATTTGTTTCCATGCTGGGGGACAGAACTAATTAGCAAAACTACTGTTTGCCACGTGGTTTGTTGAAGACACTGGGCCTGAGGCAGGGCCTGGCCTCTCCTGCTAGTTTTGCTTCTAGCAAGTGTACCCATCAGTTACCCATCTGAGCAGGCTCAGTGTTTTCATCAGTAAGAGGTGGGGGCTGGATCACATGCTCTCCAAGCCTGGCTCCATATTTCCTAATTATAAGCCAAATTTAATAGACCTCATTCCACAGTACTTTATTTTTCAAAAATTCTATTATGAAATAAGATATAGTTTAACAATTCTCATTTGCCTTTATCAAATCCTGAATTTGCTTTATGAGCTCGGAAAAAAAATCACATAGCTATCACAGGACCTGGACCTCTAAAAGTTTGCAAAAACAAAAGCCTCTGAGATGATTTAAGATAATAATTTGAATGTGAAATAAAGTGGAAATGAAATATGGAAAATTAAAAACAGAGTTTTACTTATTTGTGTGTCTGTGTGTATTGTAGAAGTTTTAGCTCCCTCCAAAAGATTCCCAACATTTCTTTAGCAGTAATTTTAGAACCATTAATGTCAGACTCATGCTCTATTCAAGTGTACAATTGATTTAAATTGTGGAGCAGTTTGAATAGAGCTGCCAAATGGCCTTTTATAGCTCAAGAGAGATTGTGATTGATAGAAAATAGCAGAAAGTAAATTTTGATACATTAATGCAAAGAAAAAAGTGACATGATGCATAGCTTAATTGAATTCAAATATTTTCCTCAGTTAAGTGTGAACTTTACTTGCAAATGTAGAACCAGTTCGTGATTTCGGGTGTGTGTGTGTGTGTGTGTGTGTGTGGTGTGGAGAAGTGAATTATTATTACTGTCACTTTTATTCACGTTTGAATCATTTTCTTTAATTTTTAAGCATGTTTTAATCAGCATGAAACAGAGTGTGAATGCAAAATTCCAGGTGTATTTGTGACATTAACCATGTTAAAGTGGACATTGTGCTTCATAGTCACAGAACCACAAATGAGCTCAAAGCTGGTAACCCACAGCTTAGCATAAAAGGTCTCATGTAGGCTGCACCTTTGCCAGAATTTTTGAGCCAACTGAGTAAACTTTATAAAAATACAATAATAACAAAGTTACAATTTTTTATCTTTCCATTTTTGAACCAGGAAGGCTCCAAAATTATATGGACAGCACCTGCTCTTGATATTTGGGAAAAGGCAGATTAAAAAAAAATGTTTGATTAGTTTTTAGCCCACGAATTAACGTTTCATAATAAAGAAGCTCTTTTCTGAGTCCTTTTCCACACCATATTTCTTATCACTTGCAGAATTTGGATTTGAATTGTATATGGTGGTGGTAGATGTAGATACCTTATAGTATTCACATTCACTTTAATCAGATCTCTGTTGCCTACTGCTCATCAGTTCTTAGCATATGTACGAAAAAATGTTGAGCAACCATGTTAAAGACGTGCCATAATGACGGGATTTCAAGGTTGAAGAAGAGAGAGAAACGTAGAAAAAAGACTATGAAATGTGATTTTGGACAAGTTTAAACAAGAGAGTTTGCCACTTAGAATACTGACTTACATTTTTTTAAAAGGGAATTTTTCCCCTTTCATAAAGTGGACAACCAGCTCTTCCAAAAACAAGGTCATTCACTGTTTTTGCTAATGCCGACTTGGCCTTTGCAAAGTATTTAGTGTTACTGGACCTTACCATGATGCATTTGAACAAACGAGGTGTCAAGAGAACCAAACACTGCATTCCTTTTGACTCTACCTGCCATTCTTCAGTAACTTTTATCATAATCTCATTGCCACTGCTGCTGTTTTTGCTTTTATCTGCTCACACCATGCTTACTATGCTGTTTCCTCCTGGAAGTCTATACCATCTGCAGGGAGAGTGCTCTGAAGGCTTAACAGTGCATGTGTAGGATGTTTAGACATCTAGATCTTGGAATAGAGCCACCTACAAAGTACAACTGCTAAGAAAACTTGGCAGAACAATGCATATTCACTTTTCAGAAATGGTAAGGAGTAACCACCATGGCAGTTTTTCTTTGTAATTTTAGAACCAACTCTACATTTATCAGCTAACTTTGCTTTAAACCACATATTAGAAATAAAATCCACTGGGGATAGGAGGTGGAGTATTAAATGCACTCCAACTCTGGCTTCCATTTATGAACATAATGTTTTTAAGATGCAATTTAATGTGTTTTTGTAGAAGTAAATGGGATTAAAAGTTTAGAATCTTTTCTGGTCCTGAAATGTTTTGTACAGTAAAATAAAAGGGGTCTCACCATGGCTGGTGTGTATAGTTGCTTCTCAGCTCTCACCTTGCAACACTCCAGGTGGGTGGGAAACTCAGGGGTGGGAGGTGTGTGCCACTGCACAGACTTCAGCGTGATGGTGCCTTCTAGGGACAGGCAGGGCACAATCTATACAGCTACAGAGAAGACGCTGGTCTTCTTGGTCTGAGAATAATTTTAATATGTTGACTACCGCAGCACACTATGATGGTGGCCACCTCCCATGAATGGTCCCAGAAATGTTCCAATATGGGACACAGCTCTAGGAGTGTTTATCATTTTTAAAAAATATGAGCTTTACATCTAGGTCATCTGCTTAAACAGGATTGTATTCGGTTTCTACTGGCATTACTATTTTATTTCCAGTAAGGATTAGTTGATGGGTGGCAATTGGGCTCTCTAGAGATTTTAATATATTCATTGATGGTGTTACCAGGTCTCTTACTAGAATGTCTTCAAGAAAGAAGTAAAGAAATAGCTTTGATGTGTAGTGTGGGAAGAGTGTAATTTCAGGGATATGGAAACAAGTTCAAGAACATATGTAGAAAGATTTAAATTTCTCATTCTCTCATAGATTAAAAATACTGAGGGAAGAGTGAGACTTTCCTGACTGGGAAAACCACAGAGATATAGATAAGAAGAGCACATTTATTTTGGAAACTGGAAGGCGAGAGAGAGAGGGCGAGGTAATGAGGAGATGAACAGAGAGAGGATTTCCCAGTAAATGGGCATGTATGATTGCAAAATGTCCCCAACCCAGATAAAGTTTAGTGTTTCCCCTCTACCTCCTCCTGGTTCTCCTCATTGGTTATGTCTTTGTTCTCTTCTGTTTCAACTTCTCCTTTTCACTTGCTATTTCCACACAGGATATAAATATGCTCTGACCTCTTCCATTTTAGCAAAATTCTTCCTTCAACTGTGCAGTCCTCTATAGCTATTGCCCTGTCTCCTTCCATGCCCAGGTAAGCTACTGACACATTTCCTGCCTCCACGTTCACACTGCTCATGTATTCTGTAATTACTTTTTGTTTTTATTAAAAAAATTCATATACATGGTTTAAATATCAGCCAGTGCTAAAAGACAATGAAAACAGATGTTCCTTATCCTTTTCCTCAGTTTTTTCCCCCTAGAGAAAAACCACTTCCAACTCTTGGCTGTTTCTTCTGGGATTTATTTTCATATTTCTAAATAATGCGCTTGTAGTCTGACTTTTTATTTCCAGAGTTTAGATATCTTTTGTTTTCTTGTTTTGTTTTGTTTTGTTTTGTTTTTGAGACAGAGTCTCACTCTGTTGCCTGGGCTAGAGTGCCATGGCGTCAGCCTAGTTCACAGCAACCTCAAACTCCTGGGCTCAAGCGATCCTCCTGCCTCAGCCTCCCGAGTAGCTGTGACTACAGGCATGTGCCACCATGCCCAGCTAATTTTTTTCTATAGCTTTAGTTGTCCTGCTAATATCTTTCTATTTTTTTTTTTTTTTTTTTTTTTAGTAGAGATGGGTCTCACTCTTGCTTAGGCTGGTCTTGAACTCCTAAGCTCAAGCTATCCACCCATCTTGGCCTACCAGAGTGCTAGAATTACAGGCACAAGCCACTGCTCCTGGCCCCTGTTATCATTTTGATTGTTGAAGATTTAGCCCTGTCACTTTGCCCTCTCTTCCCTTTTTCCCACTCTCCCAATATGATTATACCAAAATTTTTTGAGATATCAGCAGCAAGCATTTATAAATTTATATATGTTTATGTTTACAGTGTAAACTTAAATATTGTTCCCTGCCGAGCCGAGTAGTATACTATGATTATACTCTCTTCCTCTTAGGAAGAAAATCATTGCCTTAATTTTCATCTGCTTGGTTTTCTATGTGTCTCCATGTTTTCCAAATGCTCCACTAGATCTGCCAAACACCTATCAGTAGTTTTTCCAAACACTTAAACACATCAGTTTCATATTTTTCCCTGGAGGTCTTCCTAGTTCAACCCTCTGCTTCCTTATTCAGTCTGGACTGGTTGTCCTCTAGGCTTACTGCACAGTCACTGTCCTTTTGCTTTTGATGAATGCTCTGTTTCCTTATCTTCTACTTCTTTCATCTATCTATCTATCTATCTATCTATCTATCTATCTATCTATCTAAATATCTATGTTTTGAAGTACATCTTCCAGTGGTTTCTAAAGGGAACCATCCTCCAGTAACCTTCCTGGGGCAGGTTTTCTGCATTCTGGAAACAGGTCAGGGCAGGTGAGATGAGATTCTCTTAGTTCAGGGTTTAAACTTTTTACTGCCCTGCATTCAGTCTATGCTGCTGATTTTTGTACCTAGATTCTTAGGTCAGTTTTTCCAGAATATAAGCCTCTGGTCTCTGGGAAGGGTGAAGGTAGAGTTACGCTGTACTCTTCTCCCTTAGTGACCAAGATGTCTAACCTTCTTTGGTTCTCCTTTCACCTCTCTGCCTACTCTGCCTCAGTCTCCCTTGCTGGCTCCTTATTTTATGCATACATGTTAAGGACTGATGTTCCCCACATCTCTATCAAAAGCCATT